ATAATAATAATAATAATAATAATAATAATAATAATAATAATAATAATAATAATAATCTGTAGCTGTTCCTATAAATTTAAACCTCTGTGTGCTTCTGTCAAATTCTCATATTGTATTCTTGGTAGCAGATAACAGAAATACGTCAGGCTTTTTCGATCAACGTCATATGACTCTAAATGCATCAAGCATAATACAAGCAACCCCATCTAAAGTGCAGCCTTCTCCTACTGTTCACACAAAAGAAGCCTTGGGTAAGTATAAAGCCTGTTTTTTAAAAACAGAAATAAAACAATACAAAACCTGGGGTCCATTTATTTTGATAGACTCTTAGATTTAATTTTATAGATGCTTAACATTGATAAGTATGCTTGAATAAACCTTATGGGTGAATAGGTAGCTGCCTTACAGTGCACACAATGTGGACGTTCAGGAAAGAATTCTGGAAGTGGTGGTTAGGTAGATTAGAAAGGACACATGTTTATAAAGTTTTATGCAATACTTTCAATAAAAGATGGCCGTACTTCATTGCAATATCCATACATACAATTTGTGCCTGTAAGCAACTTATTCATAATTCACAAGTAATATCAGGTCTTCAATTTCCAGAATAATTGGCCCATAAATTTATTTTTCCAATGTTGAAGGACTAGTCTCACTAGACTCATAGCAATAAAAGGACATGGAGAATCCACTTCTACTATCTAGCAATTTTCTAATATTGCTGGTATATCCATCTAAGGTATATATGTCAAAAGAATAGGAATGTCTAAAAGCATTAAACCCTGTCTCAAACTCTAATGTAAATAAATCTTCACAGAATATAAGAATGTTAGAATATACATGTTTGTTTTACTTTTTTCTGTTTAATTAAAAGCAAAACATTAAAAATAATTAGAACAAGCAACTTCTTTGCCCCAAAAAGCTATAAAGTTCTTCCTGTTCTTTCTTTCTTAGTAGATCTTATCAGAAAATGTAGCTAAACATATTGTTCTCTTTCTCCATATTTGCTACATCTGTTATCCAGTACTGAGTTGCAAAAGAAAGGGTAGATTGGAAATGATAATTTTGTGTGCACTTTGTTAGAGTTCCACATTAACATACTAAGTAAATTTGCCAATATTTATGTATGTACATATAGTTTCAATATGTATCTTGATTGAACTAATAAGGAAGCTGATTATTCAACTAATAAAAAGCACACTTATAATCCATAAATACATTTAAATAACCATGACAAAACTTGATAAAAATGTGAGTTAATTAACCAGTTTTTATTTTAAAAAGCCACATGAAAAATATGTATTTACCACATGAAAAATATGGTCTATATTTTTCAGCTGGAAAAGTAGGTTTAGCTGGTAACCTATTTTTACCTTGCACATTACTTTCATGTAGATTGCAATTAAGACAATTAAAATATCCTAAAATAGCAAATGTCATTATAAGGAACTTTAAGCTGTAATGGTGTGGCTAACAAGGAAGACCTTATTTGCTGAAAGTGAAAATAGATGCTAACAAGAATACATACCATCTAGTACACAGGTGTTAAACTCGCTGTGTCATGTTGCCGTCATGTGATGTATTGCAATGTTTTCCCCTTCGCGGAGCTGAGTTGGGCATGGCCTGCACGTGATACATCTGGGCCAAGGCCTGCCAGTTTGACACCCCTGATTTGATAGAAGCAATTAATTACAATTTTATGTTAATTCCTTGAATCACAATAATAATCTAGATTATGCAGGAAAACCTGGAGTTAAATGATTTATATGTAGCTAATTGTCTCTTCATTTCTCCTATCTCTGACTCCACTTTATTTTAGTACTGGCAGTCCTTAACTTACAACTATTTATTTAACAATTGTGCAGAATCAAAAATGGCCTTGGACTGTCACAAAACATTGCACCAACACCCCAACGTGATTGCAATCCAGGTGTTTGGCAAACCTGTTCACACTTACAACAGGTTGCCAAGCGCCCCAGAATCATGTGACCACAATCACATTATGGTTTAGAGCAGTGGTTCCCAACCTTTTTTTGGCCATGCCCTACCTAAGCATCTCTAAAATCCTGATGTCCCCCTTGTGACATATAATTCTTACTTTATTCAAAAGGTGAACTCTACTCACGCAGAGGAAGCCTAAAAGGCCATTAACTTGGTTTAAACAAGGTTCAAGTTGCCCCCATTAAAAATCAAAATGCCCCCCTGTGGGGCCTGGGCCCCTCTTTGGGAACCACTGGTTTAGAGCAATATATGAGCTCAGCCTGCATGTAAACCTACTGAGAACTCCTATTAGGATTAAAACACAACCTTGGACTTGGGTGTTCATGAATTGAAACCAAAGGTTTAAATACCTCCAATGGTTTTGCCTTACTAAGTGTTCTTGGATTTTTTTTTTTACTTTACCTATCCTTTGAATTTTTCTTTGACTTACCAAGGGTTCATCATGGACATGTTTCAAGTGACTTCTCTAAAAGATACCACTATACTTTCAGAAGATGAGGAAGAAGATGTTGAAGCTCTCTTCAGAAACAAAGGTAAATATCATTATCTACAAATGATACATTATCTTCCCATTGGTCTTCCTCAGTTTGGGAATCTCCACATGGGTTGGGACTATAGCTTCCATTAATGCTGGCAGCATAGCTGCTAAGTGAAACTGGAGAGACCTCATATAAATTTGGAGCCCCAGGTTCTGCAAATGCTCAAGAATTTGTCTTGGATTATAAAATTTGTTAGGCACACATAATTGGAATAATCTCTGCCTAAGTGATTTCAAGATGCTAAAGCTGAATGATCTAAAACAATAGATGGGAGTTCTTTTCTTCCCTGCCTCATTATTGTTAAAATATAAATTTATTCTGAGCAGTGGGAGGAGCTCCCTTGTGAGCTGCAGAACAGATCCAATAAAGATGCATTTCATATTCTTTATATTAACAAAAGTGAGGATTAATTTTAAATATAGCTGAGGATTTTTAATAAGTAGGAGTCCAATATCATAATATTAGCAAGGGTATGTTTTTATCTCTTTAGTTTCTTGTAGAGAAACCTTTGGGATATATACATGACTAATGCTGGCTTTTTAGAGATAATTAAAAATAAATGCCTATGATGAGAACATTATATATCTAACTTAATCAGAATATCTGTTTATGTTTATATTTTGAAGTGAAGGATACTTATTTAGTTGCTGACTTGTGCTTATATGCCATTCCAATCATATGCAATGGATTAGCTAACATTCCTTCATGCTCTACCAAAATTAAAAGCAATGAAAAATGAAACAAGAATTGGACAAAAGGATCAAGGACAACAATCAACAAACAACCAAATAGTTCCACTGAAGGAAAAAATAAATTCTAATGAGCCTCTAAAGACCTGATTTTAATGGCTTTTTAGAATTTTAATTGGATGAGAGGGACAACCTGAACACTGGGAGATGCTATTGTAGAGGAGGGAACAGCAACAGGGAAGGTGGTACCTTATAGAAGCAGTTCTTAGGAGTAGAGTTCTGGTGGGCGTCCCTCTTCCAGTTCTTAGGGAGAATGCAAGTACTAATGGGAGAAAGTGGTCTTGAATATACCAGGCCCTGAATCATGTGGGGCATGGATACCCAATCTTTTTGCTTCCTGGGTTGCACTGAGTGAAGAGGCGTTATCTGGGGCCGCATATAAAATATTTAATACAGTTAATGTATATGAATAATAAAACTTCCTTTATTTTTAATTTTTTTATTACATCTTGTGGAGTTGCAGGTTGGACATGCTTAATGTAGGGTTTTAAAGATCACAACAAGCATTTTCCATCGCCCACAGGAGCCAACTATAAACACTGTCCAATTTTAGTTATAGATAGGTCATGCTCCCACATCCTGAACTGGTTTGCAGTTTTAGCATCCTCTTGGATCCACCGCTATTGTTTGACTATCAGGGAGCTCCTGAGATCAGGGAGAGTTTTACACAATTAGATCTGTGTACCAGTTCAGATAATTCTTGTATCAGGAGATTCTCACAATTACCTATGTGACTTCAACTGTAGCTTGATTTACAGTTTGTAGACCACTTGGAAGTGCTTCAGAGGGTTCGGGAGGCAACAGCTCAAGTAGTTATAAGATATATACATTTTGCCTATGTGAGACTTCAGTCAGAGACAGGGAAAACATAAACCTATCACATCTTTCCTTTTCGGTTCCCCTTTTAGATCCAGTTGAAGCTGTCAGCATTAAGCCTAGTGTTCCTGCTGCATTATCTGCTTTTACAATTTTTGAAGATGAGAATATGGAGTAAGTTGAAAATCATCAGATAGCCTTGTAAAGAGGTCGCTATGCAATTACCACAAAGAATGCTCTATAATTGAGATTAGTTTGCATTAGATTGCACCTTAAGCCTATTTGTACATTCTGCAATGAAAACTGCTACTAGCACATCTAGTATCTATGCTGTTGAATGAAGATTCCTGTTTCTCATTAATCATTTTTATCAGTCCCCCTTTTCTTCAATTTCTTGTATCACAAACTATGGAAAAGGGTCACCCTTTGATTCTCGAAAGAGATAATGTGTACTGTACTTGTATTATACTATGTATTGTTACAGCTAGCTGATTTTGGCTCATCTTGAAAAAGCTATGAAAGGACAAACAGTGATTGGATGAGAAATCCTACCTAACTATTTAAGAAACTGAGAATGTAGACTAGACTGAGAAGCTAAAAAAGAAAATTTTGAAATAAAGCAGTGGTGACTCACTATGCTATTGTCAAGAAAACAATATTCTTGTACTCAAGAATGTTGATTACAATTTCCCTGTAATCAATTATTTGGGCAGGAATTTTAGGCAACCTGGGATCCCTCCAGATGTTTTGGGCAGCTCTTGTAAATCTCTTATCATTGGCTTGTGTTGGTACATGAGAGTCTAAAACATCTTGAGGACTTACAAATTACCTATTCTTGATCTATTAGATTCTGTTGTAGCAGATCTGATTTCCGGAAAATAATTGTTCTCATGGTCAGTTAAATCCACTGTACGTAAAATGTTTCATTTGAAAAATGACCCTGAATGTTCTTCTTTTAATTTTTAGAGTCCTGCAGTCAGTCCCAAAGTCGACATCTATCAAAGTGTTTGGTGAACGTCCCAGAGACACTTTGACTGTTTCTAAACCAAGAGTAAGCAAATTGCCTTTAAATGTTTTGTGTCTGTCTGTCTGTCTGTCTGTCTATCTATCTATCTATCTATCTATCTATCTATCTATCTATCTATCTATCTATCT